TGCCTCAATTTTACCTGTGTTTCAGTGTTGTGCAGATTTATTGATCATCATAATGTTAAATGTGCCTACTTTTGGAAGCGGTCGCAGATAGGCTCCCAGTGCGAGCATGGTAACCATTACAACCAGCATCACACATAGACTGGCAAACTACAAGAGGGTAACAACAGAGGTGCAGTAGTTAGCAGCCTGAGCTATTTTTTTTTCACAATCTAAATTACTTTTCTTAATTAAATCTCAAGGAAGGTTAAGTTCCAGTAACTATACAGTGTTTTTCCTGGCCTTTGTGGCGAGACTACACAGAAATCTATGCATTTTCTGATTATTTCTAACAAACAACAATGTCTAGGAGCAAATAAAACCCAGTTAAACGAAACTGGTTAAAAATATACATATTTTTGATTCTTGGTTCATATAATTTTAGCCCTGGTGATTTTTTCCTTCAGTGCTGGCCAAAACCTCTTTTAGGGTGCTACACAAATTCCTCTATGCATGAAAAACACTGCTACAGCGCTCACCTGTGATGTTCCTCCAGCACTGTCGACAGCCAGCGTTACAGACAGAGCACAGCAGATCACATGGATCTTAAAGAAGGACCCGAGGAAATTGCTGCAGCCAAGAGCCAACATTTCCTACACGAGAACATCCATTCAGTATTGACAAAAGGAAGTAAAACAGACATGCTTAATGTTTAGAACGGTTTTTCTACCTGGTTGGGATCCACATCATAGCCGTGCTTGGCTGCCAGTGTCCTGCCCATAGCCAAGTTGATGACATAGCCCACTATCGCCAGGGAGAAGGCTGTGCTCAACATGTCTTCCCACTGGCTCACAGTTGGAAGGATTGGTGCTGGAAATCTGAAAAAGAGAGACAGGCAACTAAAGTAATATAAATAGTCAAAATTGGATTGGAAGAGTAACTTTAATGAATATAGCACCCATTCATGGTGATGTATGCTTTACCCTAAAGGGATTTCTCCCACTATGTCCATGTGATAAATCTCAGGAAGATGCAGAGGGCCTGAGATGGCTGTGGCCACCACTACCTGTGCAAAAATGGAATAGAAATCAAACACTACTGTCAACCTTATACTGTTCATTAGCTTACAACCCACAAAAAGTCAATGCAATTACATCAAAATGAGACAAAAAACAAACGTATTTTTGGCCATAGGGAGATGAAAATCAACTACTCACAATGACGATCTCCATTGGAATGGGGAAGGGAAGTTTGTGACGATAGCGGGCACTCAGCTCCTTCACTACAATCAAAACTATACTGCTGACCAGAGCAAACACTAACGAGGCTATGTTGGTTTTAGGAAGGCCGCGAACAATATCTATCAGAGTCTGTGTCACAAGATCAAAATGAAAGATTTTATTGACAAATCATTTTTAACGAAGTACATTGATGTTTATTCTTTTCTCACCGTAAGAGTCACTCACATAAATGACAGCCAGTGGGCCACTATAGGGTGGTACGCTGATGCCAAAGATGTATTTGAGCACTGAGATGAGGATCTGCAGCCCAGCAGCAGTCATGAAGCCTCTGACAAAGGATTCTGACAGATAGATGGCTATGAACCCAAACTGCATGAAGCCCAGACCAATCTGTACAGACATAAATCATTCTCAATGTGTCACCTTTAAACTGTACCTCACATTGCTTTCAAGTTTCACTTTAAAAGCCTCAGCTTTTTGGTACAAATACCTGTATGATTGCAGTGAGGCAGGCCAGAGTTCCAGATATGCCCAGACGAGCCTCATTCATCCTGTCTGTGTCCACTATTGTAGCATTAAGAGTGGCATTGAAGTGACTGAAGTCGGACTCCGGGGCCAGCTGAAGACATACGATCCCCACCATAATGCTGAGGACAGCAAAAGTACCTGGACATAGAAAGCAGTGTGTCACATCTATTTTCCTTGCCATATTGCAAAGTGGGCAAAGTCAGGCGGAGTGCAGCCCTGCACAGCTCTGGCAACTTATCACTGTCATCACACAAAATTGCTGCAGATAAATCACTCTGATTTACCTGGGACCATCTGGTGAGCAGTGCCCATGAAGAAATATGGGATGAGGGGAAAGAAAGAAGAATAGAGACCATTGACAGGAGGGAGGTTTGCCAGGAGGGCAAATGCCATGCCTGGTAAGAACAGAAACTGTCAAATCAATCATGAAAAAATAGTACAAAAACAATGTTATACACTGCAGCAACTAGTGTCAGTCAGAGGTTATTATACAGATGCATCGGAGAGGAGAGGACTGACTGACCTTGGGGAACCTGGATGGTGCCAGCGCTGACCCCGCTGATCACATCACACAGCAGATTTTCTTTCACTTTGTATTTGGGAAGCCAGCGAAGAACAGGCAGATGTCTGAATAACAAACCCTTTAGCCTTGGCACAGAGCATCTGACAGAAACAAGCAAGAGAAAGTCTTTGAAGAGCTCTGAGTTTCTACTTGTTCCTTTGTAAAAAGTCTACAAAACATGTCTAAAGTTTGAATTGAGTCATAGCTGCAGCATTCTCCATCGAAGTGATCACAGCACAAAGCTTGTCAGAGGTAGCGTTTGTACGATGAGAAGACGTGTTGTTCGTGTTGGCTGTGTGGCAAGATTTCAGTTCTGTACCTGAAGAGCTTTTTCACTTTGTCTCCAACAGGGAACTGTCGACTCTTCTTTTCAAACTCCCTGTCAAACTCTGGGAGATCATATGCCGGCCTGTTGATCACATAACGTGGGCGGTCCTGGTGCATGGCTATAACATATTAAAACATGTTAAGGCCATAGTGAATTCTCACCAGTACTCAAGGTGCAAATTAAAGAATTGCATAAACTGACAAAAAAATTGGCTACGCACTGCACTCTAAAACACATCCTGTAGTTGCAGTCATGTACTATGTCATATTTCAAATCAATATCATGTAAATTCAGCATAAACAAAAGCAAGATTTAAAACATTAAATGCTATGGCACAACTGACTTGAGCATTTTTAAACAGTCATGGAAACAAGGACAATTATAGGTTTGTTCTTATGTTCTTTTACATTTAAGTGGCAAACCTGAAGCGCAAGGTTCTAATATAACCTTGAAAGATAAAGGATCAGCTTACAGGTCAGAGGACGGCTGAAATATTTTATCAACACCAAGTAAATAAAAGCCCATGCACACGTTCACTCTGTGCTAAGTCATCTTAAACTGTATGCGATACAAAAATGTAATAACTAGTTTCCAAATGAATTTTCCAATGTAAACATAATAGCAATGGAACCTGCATTTAAAAAATATGGCGATTGTGGTGTTTGGAATGTCAGATTGTTCTGATTTAATAACTCTTAACAAACTAAAGTACAAGAAGAAACTACAAAAGGTAAAAATTTGGAGTTGAAAAACATTTAGCTAGACTAGTTTTTACATTTTTTTTTTTTTTTAAGAACACCTGTTGAATGCATTATGCAAATATATGGTATTTTTCACTGTCAACATCATACATTAAAGCATCTGTTCCACACAATCTGTGAATTAAAATTCCCTTCCTACAAATTGATGTATGTCTTTATTGAGATTACTGACAAAATAATCAAAATTAAGTTGCAAGTTAGAGTTCAGCACATCCATCCCAATGCCAACAATGTTTAGAGGCACTGACTGTATTAAAGCTAGAGCAATATAACCCAAAAGTAAGAGAAGACAGTACTGTACCTTACTGTTGAGGCACAACACTTGCAGGCATTTGGTTTAGATGTGTATACTGCCCACTTGTTTGATTGCTTATCAAGCTTTGCGAAAGACTCTCTGCACCTTATGGGTGGAGCTTAAGATGACAAACCTTGGTACATGCAGACTTGCAGGGAAACCCCTTAGAGCAAGGAGACAACATGATGTCATTACCAATAAATGCATCTTTAATGGTTCTGTTTCTATATACATGTAGCATCCACACATTCATTCACTCATTGACAAAAATACAATTTTACATTGTATGGCAAAGGGTAGACATAAGCTACAGCAGGAACTAAATCAGTTACAAAGCCTAGTTTAACTTGACTGACACAATTCAACTTTGTGGGGGGGAGTGATGCATATAAATAGTGTATTGAAACATTACAAAGGGTGAGACAGCAATGACAATGTGTAAAACATGACTTTGTTCCATTGCATCAGAATCTGTGCAAAACAATGGCATCAACATCATAGACTAAAGTGCAAATATTTATTAAATACATTTGTGTTTTTCGCCAAAAGAGGAATGTAGTATTCAGATGGACTCTTGACAGCAACAGCAAGTCTCCCTCTGGTGGAGCAAAAGATGCAAAGCACAAATCCCACATGAATGCGTTTTCTTTAGGCATGACAGACAAGTCAAACACTTCCTCATCACTTGTGTGTAGAAAAGAGCATGAAGGATTTAATGAGTACATTAACATCTCTCGAAAGAATGCTTTAAACCAGAGAGCA